TTGCTGAGGTTGATCTCAAAGGCATGTGCCACCGTACCTGGCCCCGGAATGCTCTTTTAAAAAGTTCTGGGAACTGATTTTATTCTTGGAAATAATACTTCTTAAAAAGTACAAATTTTGATATGTATACAATTAAAGGAAGCCTTATTGTGTTCTAAATCCACATCAATACTTCCATTACTCTAAAGGATGACCAAATATGAAGTATTATAAAGATTGCTGTTTTCCCATATTTATTTTACGAAATGCATTAACCATAACCTCAGTTTTGTACCAATAAAGACAATTACATGACCTATGTGGATATCTTGTGCATTCTTTACACTTTCTTTCTTTTTTTCTTGCACTTCATTCTTTATAATGTCTTGACTATCATCTTCAACTGGTCAAAGAGCTCAAGAAAGCCTGTTTCCTTAGTCATCTTCATTATCTTAGTTATTATCCACCCCCACTATCCCTCCAGGCAAAGAACATCATACAGACTGAGTTATTAAAGTTGATCTGAAAGAGCAATCTGTTCTAAACTACTGTCCCTGGATCTGCAACGGAACCCTGTAAATACTCTTCATTGCTCTGGCGCGGCAGTATCACATTTCCTTCATGCTACTTTTGTGGCTGACACAAGTTAGGCAGTGAGATTTGGACTTTAGATGATCCTGGTTGATTGATGTAGGAATGGTGCCTCTCCCGAGACAGGTAACTATAAATTTGCTTTTCGATATCAGTATCATACTTTTAAACAGGTGTTCTGTTAAGTTTTTTTTTAATGTTTTTAGTTTTAAAATGAAATATGTTTTGAACTTAAAAAATTATTTTTAATGTTTTTAGTTTTCCCAGGCAAACATTTTCAAAACCGTTTAGATGAAAAAGAAATTTCTTAAGGATTTTATTGTATGTCTCAATGATATCACAGGGTTTGTATAAGGCTCTATAATCTACCACTTAACTATTATTTTGGATGGTCAAGTACTTGCTTCTGGTGTGAAAATTTTTCTCATTACAAAAGGTTAGAAAATATATACATATCTTTGGTCTTCGAAAATAGGACACAGAAATTTGGTTTTGTTTTTTTATCTGACACTGGAGGGCTATACCTCAACATAAATCTATGAGTGGTGAGCAAAACTTATTGAAGCTTTGGTATATGTGAGCAATTTCTCTTAAATAATTAAAGCCTATGGCAAAATGAAAAAATAGCAAATACAAATTTTGTACGAATCTACCAGCAAGAAAATTCTCTCATGCTTCTTCTCCAAGTGAAGACTTCCTCTGCCATAGATTTTCTAGATTCCTCAGCATTCCTGTGGATCATCCCAATGTGAGTAAATTGTTTCTGTAGCTGAGTGACTGAATTAAGAAAACAGCTGAGGGCAAGCACAGGATCATGTTTAAACCACAATAAACACATGTGTTGGATGGACCACTCAGCTTTATAGGGAAAGCTTAAGACATGTAATCTTGTGTTTGCTTGTCACTAATGGAGTTTGTTTTTAACTATGTTGGATATTAAAAAGTTTTAAAGATTATTCTTTGTACCAGTAAATTCTGGTAAACTCTGAACTAGCAGGCTTGTGATATCATGTTTATATAATTATTACTGTTCATAAGCAAGGTAGGACTAGGTTATGTAGAAACAGAAGCTAGTTTTAAAAAAACAAAAATCTAGAATATGAGTTTAATGAATTGTAAGCAAGGTGCTCACAGTTACTAAATAATACTGGAAATATTTGTATCTAGCATTTTTTAGAAAACAAAAAATTTTGTATGCTGACTATATTTGAAAATAGTACCAAAAAAAAAAAAAAAAGAATGAAAGAGAAATCAGAATTTCCATGGCTTATTTCTTCTGTAATTCTTCTTTTACCTTCCCCTTGGTTTTGCTGGGGAATTGAACCCAGTGCCTCACACTTGCTAGGCAAGCACTCTACTACAGAGTTACATTCCCCAGCCCTTCTTTCTTTTAAGTAAAAAGAATTTGTTGGAGTATATACATAAACAGAAAATGCAGAAATAAAATTAAGTATTCATTTTGGGCGGGGGGGGGCACCAGGGATTGAACCCAGGGGTGCTTTAACACTGAGCAACATTCCCAAYCTTTTTTATTTTTTATTTTGAGACAAGGTCTTGCTAAGTTGCTTAGGGCCTCACTAAGTTGCTGAGGCTGGCTTTGAACTTGCAATCCTTCTGCCTCAGTTGGGATTACGGCATGTGCCACCAGGCCCAACTAAAGTAAGTATTCTTGATGTTTGTTTCAGCACAGGATTAGGTAAATGAACCTGTTCCTTGAGGATCTGAATTTCTTTGGTAATAATAACCTACCCAGATAATTCAGCCCTTTCTGAATCATTTTTCTTTCCTTGAAAATAGTTTTTCCTTTTTTCACTTGAATTATTTAAAAAGTTTTTTTTAATTCTTTTTTGTTGTTATTGTTGTTTTGTTTTGTTTTGTTTTGCCTGTGTGAACATAAAGCCCTATAATAAAAGGTGTAGTGAGCCAGACACAGTGGCTCACGCCTGTAATCCCAGCTACTCAAGAGGCTGAGGAAGGAGGATTACAAAGTCAAGGCCAGCCTCAGAAACTTAGTGAGACCCTGTCTCAAAAACAACAACAACAAAAAGGCCTGGGATGTAGCTAARTATTGCACCTCTGGGTTGAGTCCCTAGTACTTAAAAAAAAAAAAAAAAGTAATAAAATCTCTGATGTGAGCACAATAACCAAAGAAATTTTATCTTTATTTAATGTACTGTAGATAGTCTCAAAATGACTGAAGAAGATCTCTTAGTAAACTCCATGATGTCAGGAAATACAGTGTATTTTGGGYTCTGCTTTATAACTAGTACATAGTTTATAGTAACAATTAAGTACAAATTTGTCGAATAAATGAATGGGAAGAAACCCTATAAGCAATTCAGTAATTAAATTATAAAATTAGATTTAAACTTATTTATTTCATGCTATTGGAATMTCAGAACAAATGTTTTAAATGATAATCAGTGGCTTTGGCCTGAATTTTCAAAACCCAGGCTTCTAATAAGATTAATAACATTACAGCATCACTTAATCTGTATTAACCAATAGGGCTTTTTATTCAAATTCATTTTCTAAAAATGTCTGAAATTAATATCAAAGAGCTATACTTTTATGAAAGTAAGTATTTTGTAGTTGTTGGTCTAGCTAAGGATTTTTTTCCCTTACTGATTGGTAGTGCTTGTGAAAGAAGATATATATCTATCATTACCTTTTTTTTTTCTTTCAGTGCTGGGGATGGAACCCAAAACYTCACACTTGCTAGTCAAGTACTCTCTACCATTGAGCTACAACCCCAGCCCTTTTTAAAAAAGTGTTTATCTTGAGACAGAGTCTTGCTAAATTGCCCAGACTAGCCTTGAACTTGCAGTCCTCCTGCCTCCACCTCCCAAGTAGCTCGGATACTAGGCAAGCACCATTGCGCCCAGCTAGTGTTGTACTTTTCTAAATAATATACAAGAAGTTATTCCCAAGTACTTTTGAATTGTAATATACTATGTTATTTAGTCATTTTGACTTTWAAGCAGTATCTGATTTGTTTTTCTGAAGAGATTTGTTCAAACTAATTTGTTCCAAAGTTGATTCTYAGGCTAACGGGTTTTTCCTCTTCTTTTCCCCTGTGAATTCTAATTAGCAACTTTGAGTATTAGTTATGTTCTATGCTTTTGCTTAGATTTTGGACCAACAGTTCAAAAAAGTTCTGCTTTAAAACCTTAGGCCTCTGCTTTTCATGATTGAATTTCCTCAAATATGTCAGTGATTACACGAGAATAAATCTTCCATTGATTAAAACTAAGGATCTTATAAATGAAGTATTTTGATCTGTTTTAAAATTAATGCCATTTTCATCAGTATATACAACTATATACAGCATTTAGTATGAATTTCAAACATCAATTGACACATATTTTGGACTCCCAGATGTAAGTAAAATTCTTTAGGTAGAAAATCCAATTGACCCYCACCCCCCATAGGTGCTGTCCTGCTATGGAATCCCTTTGCTCAGTTTTCTCCTGTCCAATCAGGTGGAATGTTTCACAGGCACATGGTTTATACAGCTCAAAATAACTTGGGACCTGTGAGCTGACAAATGCTCTGGCTCCGGTGGTGACAGGTTGTCCAGCTTCTTACAGCCATCTTCACTGAAACTAAGGTTAACTCCTCACTCTCTATGGACGGCTACTTTCTACTTCYAAGGGCGTGAAGAATTTTCCTATTCTCCTGTGCCTTCATCTGAAAGTTCTCCTTGGAAAATAATCATCGMGGTGGAGTGCCTGGGTTGGACATCCCCATCTGGGTCAACTAAAAAAAGAAAGGTAATGTCCACATTGAAGCTCACAAGTGTGTTTTGATAACAGGGCACTGACAATGGGAAAAGGAATATTTCAGAGAACTAATCACTACTACTTAGAGTGAAACTTAGGCTAACTTTCTAATTATGTATGATGGGACACATACTTAAGTAAAAAGTAAAACTTTCTACATGTAAATCTTTTGGAGGAGATTGATGAGACTCATAGAGATCATAGCCTATTTCAGTACTAAAGAAAAATATATATTTTTTAGAGGAAGTTGTGATATGTTGTGACTATCACAGACATTTTCCACACTTCATTTATTGAAATAATGTTCTTTATGCAGGGAATATGTGTGAGATGCCATTTCCTTTTTAAAGGAAATCAAATCTAAAATAATGTGACTCCATAGTTGAAGACTTTCATTTAAATTTTTTTTATCATGTAAAAGGATATGCTTTGCTATATTTAGTTTTGGGAGATCTGCTCCCTGGATTAATGTACACAACAGCTGCAGAAAGTCTTGCTCAAGGGACATTGCTCTTTCTTTCTCCTTTTCTCTCTCTCTCTCTCTCTCTCTCTCTCTCTCTCTCTCTCTCTCTCTCTCTCCCCAGCTGCATCAGAAAGACACTTGACAGTCAGTGGCAAATGTTTGGCCTGGAACATTGCACTATTAGCAGTAATTAGATGCACATTTTGAATATATTTTTAAAACTGTATAAACAATAAAAGAGAAAAGATGAATTACTCTGTATTTCCAGTCCCCAAAAATGAAGAGTATGGTAATGGTGTTAAGAAATTTTTATCAACAGATTTTTACATACTTATTGAAGTTGTTTTTTAGCATCATTCAGTTTTGAAGAAATAAAACAGATATCTAGTTTTCAAAACATTTTGATGACTCAATMACTTTCACTTTAGTAATAATTAAATGAATTCTACAAGGTCTAAACTAGAATTTTTTTCCCTAACTTTATAGTTTTTCCTTAATAATAACTCTGACGTTCACATCAAATCCATAGTCCTTTCCTAGGAAATCAAGACTGTCTATACTTCATATTGACTTTTCATGATTGAATTTCCTCAAATATGTCAGTGATTACAYGAGAATAAATCTTCCATTGATTAAAATTAAGGATCTTATAGCTATAATAAAMATTTTAAAAACAAACAGTAAGATATACTATCAGACGCATTGTTTGAAAACAAGCAAAATATTTGWATTCAAGGCCATTTGAGGATATCTGAAATATATACACACTATATTTCCATGCATATTGAGAGACCGACTTTCAGGCATTACAGAATCTTTTAATAATGGACTATGAAACAAACAGTTGGACACTATCCAAGTTCTGGAAGGTTGTCTCTATCCCCACTTATAGCATATGGCTAACACTATTGGAACTGACAATAATGTAAAAAACCCCCCAGCCTTCCATACATCTATCAATTATAATATTGAATATTATATATTTCTGTTACAATGAGCTTCCAAAGCCCATATTTAGTGGAACASACTCAGAACTGCAATTCATGGATGGTAGGAACTTGAATTTTTATCTGAGCTGGTTTTAGAAGTCACAGATAGTTTTTGCATATTTACTTTTGAAGAAATTGGACAGTAGGTAAATMAGATTCTGTTTTAACAAACTAATACTTGTATGTGAATAGGTGACAGCTCAGTTTTTCAACAATTAATTCCTATATGTGACAGGAATACTAGTCTCAGCTCACTAACCTGAAAATAGAAGGCTATTAATACTAACCTCAGAATAATTCATTTCCTTCATTCACATTGAGATTTGACAAAGACATTGCTGGCCTTGTGGTGTTACTGCCAWTAACAAGACAGAAAAATGAAAGGGGTTTTCTTAACAGCCTTTTCCCTTTCCTGGGAGATGGAAGATAATCAAGCACCAGAGAGATATTTTCATAAATTTTGAAAACAGTTAACAAAGTGCTTTTAAAACGACTGGAGCATTGCACATGTGTTTAAAGGAACAACCYAGGTATAGACAGAATAGTCTGTTYATAAATGTAAGAACAAAGTTTGAACAGATATATTTTTGGTGGAAAAAAAGTCGGTATTATTATTTACCTGCAGTCAAAGGGTTCTCAGATCTCATATATAACTAGAGTCACCTTGACAGCCCTGTACAAGCTGCCTGGTACATAGCCCTCCCYCTGGAGTCACAATGCACACTCAGGGAGGGGCCCAGCAGAGCCTTCCCACCAAACACTTGAACTAGAACTAGGTCTTGAGATCTCAAGTTTATTTGGGGCACCTATTCCTCTCTCAATCTAGCAAACCTATTATGTCAACTTAATTAGAGAAGTTAACCTTTCTTCCAAACCTTAACTACCTAAAATTAAAAATTAATATCAATATATTGTTTACATATACAAATATGTAACAACAAATCCCATTGATATATACAACTATAATGTACAAATAAAAAATGTGGAGGAAAAATTCATACAAATAGTTGAAGGCTAAAACAGAATGAAAATGTTAATTTTTTTTCTTAGGTTTTTAAAATTTAAAATACAAAATAAGAAATATTGGAGTTAATGAGGATTGACAAAGATTTCTCCTTTGGGATTTCCTATATAGCAGCTCAGTCCTCTATGAATGGTGAACTCATGAGAGAAGGAGAGAGAGAGAAGCCTCCTATGCCAATCACTTGTACAACTACCATCAAACCTCCCCCTTTTGTGGGTGAGGGGAACTCAGGCCTTGCATAGGCTAAGCAAGCATTCAACCAATGAGCTAACCCYCAGCCCCAAACCCCTTTTTAATCCTAGATTCCTGAAGTCTTTTTGTTTGCCTTCCATTAGGCTTTCTGTGAGCCCTAAGATTTATACTTTTATACCATTTATTTTGTCTTTCAAATTCAATTAATCTTCAGTAACCTTAATAGATTTAGCCTCTTCTAAATACTCTAACATGAATACTGTTTCTTAATAGCCAAACTCTTTTTATCCCTCTTAAATGAAATCTTTATTTTCTTTCCTACCCTCTGATTGAAACAATGAGAGAATGGCCCATGCACTTCTTGTTCCTTTAGCCTTTGCCCTTTAGTGGAAAGTCTCTAGTTAACAAATCCCYACTTCTATTCCTATGTGTTATCTAGGCTCTGCCTCTTTATTTCAACATGCTTTTCTAAGAAATACATTTGTCTGTATCTGTCTTTGCTGTTTTTCTTCCTTCCAACTGAAAAGTCTTTGAGAGAATGAGTCTTGTATTATTTCTATATTATTATTGGCATAGCATAACCGCATAYCTCAAGCACTGACTCCTAACACTGTATATACTAATTTATTAAATTACCAATGCCTTTCACACCCAAAATAGACTGGAAATAAAACTGACTTGGAGGTGATCATTGAAATAGTGAGGGGATGGACATTATAATAGGGTAACCCATCGGCAGTCAAATTTTTAAAAGGTGACGACGTGGACACATCTCTACAGAACCAGTTCCTATGTACTGGGATTTGGTTCTTGGCTAAGCAAGAGTTTCTCCAAAAGAAATTTAGATACTTCTCTTGTGTGACATTATGAGATACAGAAAGCAAAATAGGTCAATACCAGCATTAAGGAGAAGAAGCAAAGTTTACTAATTTTTTATTATTATTTTCCTAAAGAAAGTTCTAAGCATAATAATTACTTATCAGCAAAAAAGGATTATCTTCCCCAACCCCACCCCACCCCCAAGGTACTAGAAATTGAATTCAAGGTGCTCTACCACTAAGCTACATTTCCAGTTCCTTTTATCTTTTTATTTTTATTTCTCACTAAGTTGCTGAGGTTGGCCTTGAACATGTTCAATACTTCTGCCTTAGCCTCCTAAGTCACTGGGATTACCAGTGTGTGCCACTGTGCCCTGACAGAAAAGGATCTTCTTAAATTTGAATAGTGCTATACATTTCAAAAGTACTTTCGCAAATAAACCTAGGGAATCAGCAGGTTAGTTGTTCATCCCCATTTGAAGGTGAATAACTTAAACATGCTTATCTTTTCCTATTCTGGGCTTTCTTTATAAATAATTATTAAATGTTAGGCTATTTTTGTGTTGACCTAGAGACTGGGTTTGAGTTTTATGGGRGTTTTTGTTTGTTTGTTAATGGATGTGTTCCACACTATAATGAATGCAGAGCAATGTTTACAACATGTATAAAATGTTTCATTTTTAAAAAACTTTATTAAGATTTAATTAACAAATAAAAAGTGTATGTATCTATGATAGACAGCATAATGTTTTGATATATGTATATGTATGTAT